ACTAAACCAGGTCTAAACCAGGACTACCACAGAACCAAAACTAAACTCGGACTAAACCAGGTCTAACCAGGACTACCACGGAACCAAACCCAGACTAAACTCGGACTAAACCAGGTGTAAACCAGGACTCCCACGGAACCAAACCCGGACTAAACTCGGACTAAACCAGGTGTAAACCAGGACTACCACAGAACCAAACCCAGACTAAACTCGGACTAAACCAGGTCTAAACCAGGACTACCACAGAACCAAACCCAGACTAAACTCGGACTAAACCAGGTCTAAACCAGGACTACCACGGAACCAAACCCAGACTAAACTCGGACTAAACCAGGTCTAAACCAGGACTACCACGGAACCAAACCCAGACTAAACTCGGACTAAACCAGGTCTAAACCAGGACTACCACGGAACCAAACCCAGACTAAACTCGGACTAAACCAGGTCTAAACCAGGACTACCACGGAACCAACCCAGACTAAACTTGGACTAAACCAGGTCTAAACCAGGACTACCACGGAACCAAACCCAGACTAAACTCGGACTAAACCAGGTCTAAACCAGGACTACCACAGAACCAAACCCAGACTAAACTCGGACTAAACCAGGTCTAAACCAGGACTACCACAGAACCAAACCCAGACTAAACTTGGACTAAACCAGGTCTAAACCAGGACTACCACAGAACCAAACCTGGACTAAACTCGGACTAAACCAGGTCTAAACCAGGACTACCACAGAACCAAACCCAGACTAAACTCGGACTAAACCAGGTCTAAACCAGGACTACCACAGAACCAAACCTGGACTAAACTCGGACTAAACCAGGTCTAAACCAGGACTACCACAGAACCAAACCCAGACTAAACTCGGACTAAACCAGGTCTAAACCAGGACTACCACAGAACCAAACCCAGACTAAACTCGGACTAAACCAGGTCTAAACCAGGACTACCACAGAACCAAACCCAGACTAAACTCGGACTAAACCAGGTCTAAACCAGGACTACCACAGAACCAAACCCAGACTAAACTCGACTAAACCAGGTCTAAACCAGGACTACCACAGAACCAAACCCAGACTAAACTCGGACTAAACCAGGTCTAAACCAGGACTACTACAGAACCAAACCTGGACTAAATCCAGTTTGGTCTGGGTTTAGACCTAAATCACATCTAACCCAGGACCCCTGACCCACTTTCTGGTCTCAAATATTTGCATGTGGTTTGGGTTTGGTCTCGTCTCATTTGTTTTGCAAATTTGGGGTCTACAACTGAAAAAGACTAAACACCAACTCTCCAGCTAATAAAGAACTAAGACCAGACTGAACTTGAAGGAGAACTTCACATCTCGTGGTATTACATAAAGATATTTAAGGTGCACTATGTGACTTTTCAAGAGGGATGCTATTCCTTTGCTTGGAATGTTTCACAGTATGGCATTAAACTTAACTATCTTTCATGTGTAGGTGTTTTGTTGCTAGAAAACACCTAGAAAAACATGCCATTTTACAGTGAATGGGGTTGCCTCTCCACAGATCTGACCTGGTAGTGCCACCTACTTCTCCCCATGGTGATAGATACATTTAATTAAATACTATGGAACAGTAATAACATCTAGGATAAACCTAAAAGTAAGAAATATTTGTAAGATATAAATACTGAAAAATATCTGATTTCAAAGTCACAGTATGTAACTTTTTTCTGTTTTTTGTTGTTGATGTTTTTTCAGTATGGATATTTTCATTGCATTGAAAAACAGAAAAATATGAATGTTGTTACTGTAAGTGGGCTTGCATCTCCACAAACCCGACTCTTACTTGGCCTGGAGGAGGGTCTATTCCTGGTAGTTTCTATGGAAATGTTGTTCCTTTGGCTATAATATTCCACAAAATCACATTAAACTTATTTATCTCCATGGAGAATTTCCCCCCCAAAATCGCTTTAACTTTCTATTTCCATGCAGTTGACTTCCCACCTCCAGAAAGTTACGCACTGTCACTTTAAAACAGTAAAAATAACAGACCGAACTGAGCTATGAACAGTGTGTTTTTCCGTTATGATATTGATCTGTTCTTATGTTGTGCTGTCAGTGTAAAGTAGATGTGTTGAATGAGCGTCAGGTGGTGCATAAACTGATCTGGCCTCAGTGAGAGTCGACCTTTCACCTTTGATCCTCGTGATCCCGGTGACCCTGAGCTCAGTGCGACCCCTCAGCTCAAACATCTGAACAAACAGCTCTCTTACAGACACTCACACACGCACTATGGGCTCTGAAACACAACTGGAATAATCAGCTTTATGGAATATCATTGATGGTCATATCTTACATTATAATTATGATGCAATAGGCTGTCTCCCTCTGTACAACTCAACCTCCACCTTGTGATGTCATTAGGTGATGAACCGGAAAAGCTTCTTTGTGTTTTTAAAGTTTATTCACTTTTCATCCCACTCATTTTGATAGTTTCACCAGAATTAGATAAGGACTAGGACAGGTTTGAACCAGGTCTAAACCAGGACTAAGCCAAAATGAAACCAAGTCTATATCAGGACCAAATCGCATCAAAACCTGGATTAAACTGGGTCTAAATCAGGACTAAATCAGGTCAAAATCAGGCCAAAATCAGATAAAAATCAGGTTAAAATCAAGCCAAAATCTGGTAAAAATGGGATTAAACTAGGTCTAAAGCAGGTCTAACCAAGTCTGAACCAAGTCTGAACCAGGTCTAAACCAGGTCTAAACCAGGTCTGAACCAAGTCTGAACCAAGTCTGAACCAGGTCTGAACCACGTCTAAACCAGGTCTAAACCAGGTCTGAACCAAGTCTAAACCAGGTATAACCACATCTAAACCAGGTCTGAACCAGGTCTGAACCAGGCCTAAATAAAATCTGAGGTAGGACTAAACTCAGTCTAAACCTGGACTAAACCAAGTGTAAACCAAGGGTGCTTTCACAAGTTTGAACACAAATTTGAGACTAAACTGGGATTCATTTTGGAACTGATCCTAGACTAGTCCAGAACTAAACCAGGACTAGAACAGGACCAAACTGAGTCTACCATCTAGACTAAACTGGTCTCAAACCCAAACTCAACAAAGGTGAACACGCCCCAAGTCTACGTCTCGACCTGGTCTAATGCCGGACGTACACTTTGCGATATTTTCAATCGTTTCACTCAGCCCCAGCTCAAACTGTACGATCAAATTGCAGGGTTTAAAAGTTCACAGCCCAGGCAAAAAACTAAGGGTGAAATATAAAACATTACAACTCTCAAAGGACAGAGGAGGTCTAGCACTTCCGTGTTTTCAAGATTATTACAGAGCATCACAGTTACGCCCGTTAGTGGGCTGGTGCAAACCTAGCTATAATTCAAAATGGAAGGACATAGAGTGCGGAATAACAGGAGGCCTGCCGGTCGGTATGTTGATAGGGGACCCATCATTGTTGGATGATCTGTCAGATATTGCAAAGCAGTTACTCAAAAGTTCCATAAAGACATGGACTGAAATACTAAAAAGGTATAAATTACAGGGAAAAGCGGGACTTTTTAAATGGTTTGCTTATGATTTTGATTTTATTCCTGGTAGATATGACTCAAGATTTAAGATGTGGTGTAATAAAGGCCTTAATACATATTGCACTCTAATTAAGGACGGGGTAATAAGAAGCTTTCAGGACCTCAGGGACAAGTTTGGATTGACAAATCATGATCATTTTAGATACTTACAAATTAGAGATTTTGTTACAAAAAAGTTCCCCCAAAAAACAAATTTCACTAAAAGTGATATTCTTGGAATTTTTCAAAATGCATATGAAGACGCTTCCTATCAAAAAATTATTTCAAAATTATACACGAGCCTTCAAAATCTAGAGAACTATGATACTCTTTATATAAAAACAAGATGGGAAGCAGAGGGCAACATAATTCTTACAACTGAGGACTGGGACAGAATCTGCACACAGCAGTGGTCAGTAACAAGCGCCCCCTGCTGGAGGGAGTTCTGTTGGAAAAATGTAACTCGATACTTCTGTACACCAGCTCAAACATCTAAATATTCTGATCAGACCAGCTGCTGGAGGTTATGTGGTCAAGTACAAGCTAACCATTTTCATATTTTTTGGAATTGTCCCTCTGTGGCTCCATTTTGGAGACAAGTTCATGGGATACTGGAAATGGTCTTTAAAAGGAAGATTCAATATGATTTTAAACTAATGTATTTGGGAGATTTTGTTTCGTTGCACCTTTCTAAGCAGATTCATACTTGATGGGAGTATTGCTGGTGGCTGCCAAGAAAGGAATAACTCGGAAGTGGCTTGGACAGGAGACACCTACATTGGATGAATGGATAGACTTGATATTTAGCATTTTTAAAATGGAAAGGATCACATTTAAATTGAAGTTACAAAGTGACATATTTGAAACCTATTGGTCAAAATGGTTGCGGTATGTAAAGACAAGAAGACCTGACTTTGTATAAAGTAGTTATATCTGTTTATCTGCCCCCACTGTCTTGTTTTGTTCTTACTGTTTGAATGTTGTTTATTTTTACAAGATAAAAACCCAATAAAAAGTGAATGACAAAAAAAAAGTTCACAGCTCGTGGAACTACTTCAACAGTGCGAAACCCTCATGAGAGGCGACTGGATTTTAACCAGGTTTGATATTTCTGTGACTTACCATTGCCAATCGGGAGTTGGTAATGAGGTAGTAATCGCTTCTTGTTTCTTGTTTGTTGTTCATGTTTCCAAAATGAAGGATGGCACATAATTAAGACAAAACTTGGCCCGATCCCAAAAGCAGTTGCACGAGTGAAAAACCGGCTCAAAAGTGTACGCCCGGCTTAAACCAAGATCAAGACTAAACCTGGACAAAACCATGACATATCCAGGATCAAACCAGGTTAACGCCCGGTCTAAATCAGGACTAAACCAGGTCTAAACTCAGTCTAAACGAGAACTAAAACCAGTCTAACCCCGACCTACACCGGCCCCTCACCTGCAGGAGTCGCCCGTCGCTGGTGCCCAGGTAGGCCACAGTCCTGGAGTGCACGGTCGCCACGGTGATGGAGGTGAGGAGGGTGTGGGCCAGGTCCTGGTGCCAGTACTCCAGCCGGGGCACAAACTGAGTGATCTGCAGACGATACGTGCTCTCTTTGCCCTCGTGCATGCCCTCGTGAGGATCACACTCGTCTGAAGAGGTCTGGAAAGACAGAGTTAAAACAATAAAGTGAATATACATAAAAGTACACGAGAAGAGATCTGGAGAAAAAGAGTAGAGGTATAATGATAAAGTCAACATATATAAACGAGTACAAGAGGAGAGATCTGGAGAAAAAGAGCAGAGAGGTATAATGATAAGGTCAACATATATAAACGAGTACACAAGGAGAGATCTGCAGAGAAAAAGAGTGTTATAATGATAAAGTCAATAGAGTCGTATATAAACAAGTACATAAAAGAGGTCTGGGGAGAGAAAGGAGAGACTTATAATGATAAAGTGAACATATATAAACGGGTACATAAAAGAGGTCTGCGGAGACAGAGGATAATAAAGTCAACATATATAAGTACAAGTACACAAGAAGAAGTCTGGAGAGAAAGAGGAGGGACTTATAATGAAAAAGTCAACATATATAAGTACAAGTACACAAGAAGAGTCTGAAGAGAAAGAGGAGTTTCATGGAGCGTTTCAACATGTACACACAAACCTTTGACTTTGTCTTTATTTTGAAGGGACAATGTACAGAGACAGTAAAGTGATTGTACAAAATTTGTAATAATCATGAACTTTGAGATATTATGCTGGTTGTTGTTGTCTTTACAGTGTTTAGAGTAAGGCTGGTGGGTTTTTAGCGTGCTGATCTTTGTTATCATTCTCATGACAACAAAATTGCACTCAGGTCTGATGTGAAACAGCTCCGATAAACTCATCAGAATATTAGAAATGCATTAAGAAAGTGCGGGATAAGGTTTGACCGCTGCAAATAAAGTAGTTCTGTACGCATGATTCTGTGCACAAACTGAGGATCTACAACTGACTAAACACCAACTCTCAAACTTATAAAGAACTAAGATCAGATAGAACTTAAAGGAGAACTTCACTTTTCGTGGCATTACAGAAAGATGCAGTATTTAATAAGTGAGTAAACTCCCTCTTGAAGATTTACTCTGCCCCTAAGCAAAATCTAAAAAAAAAAAAAAGTGACCTTAACAATCCAGCACAGTGCGGACCGGTGCACTCCGGACCCTGAAACCAGGTCTGAACCAGGTCTAAACCATTTCTAAATAAAGTCTGTACTGGGGCTAAACTCAGTATAAACATGGGACTAATTTTGGAACTGATCCTGGACTACACCAGAACTAAACCAGCACTAGAACAGGACCAAACTGAGTCTACCATCTGGACTAAAGTGGTCTCAAACCAGGACCCAACAAAAGTGTGAACACACCCCAAGTCTCAACCTGGACAAAACCAAGACATAACCAGGATTAAACCAGGATAACACCAGGTCTAAACCAGGACTAAACTAAACTAAACTTTTTAAAATACAGTCCTTGTATTGGTGCTAAGCTAGTGCATGTCAATGGCCATAGTTATCCTGCCACTAAAAACAGTCTTACCCACTCGACAAAACACCCGAAGCAAATCTATTATTATGCCACACTGTCTCTGTAAATGTTTATGTTGATAGAATATTGTTTGAAATAAAAATAACCTTGCATCTCATGAATCGTCGCATGTTGAGGGACTATTTTCGCATATATCAGTCCGCCACTGCCAAACTTTCTATCAGGAAGTACAACTCGCTGCTGCTGCTCAGACATAACTCCTTCAAATGCAAGGCTGATTTTACTTCTAAAATTATTCTATCAACACAGACACTCACATTGACAGTCTGGTGAGTTTTAGTTTTTAGTGGCAGGCTAACTATGGCCATTGACATGCACTAGCCTAGCACCAGCGACCTCTGCAAATACAAGGACTGGATGGAATATTTCAAAAAGTATCTCCACACGTCTCCAACACTCTGGCTCACTAGGAAATGAGGTCCTATGTCCAAATTCCAGACTGTCCCTTTAAACAATATCACATCGGCGATAACTGAACCGGCTAATTTTTCAGTGTTGCACCAATATTAGATAAGTACAAAAAAATCTTACTTAAATGCACAAATGACAGTCGTGAAGATCTACTGTAACACTGTAAAGGGGAGTTTGACAAGTGCTGGCAAGTCTGACGATTCCACAACCACTAAATGAAACTAAATCAGGACAAAACCAGGACTAGACCAGGACAGGACTCAAACTGGGCCCTAAATCAAACCTAAACCAGGAGCGCACCTTTAATATTGTTTTGAATACAGTGAGCAGAACTTCACACGTCTGAGCTTTAGATACCCCCCGTTAGAAGAATGACACTAACACGGCCGACAGCTGCTAAATCTGCTGCTTAAGTCATTTTCACACTTTTAACAAGCTTCCTCTGTGTCCATGACAAATACTGCAACATCTTCTCCACACCTGCCCAGCTCAGTTCCGCTTTCACGCCTGTTCGGTTTACTTTAGCACCGTTGCCTTAGCGATGAACGATCTGAAATGTTCTCAAAATGTCTTCTAGTGTACCTTTACCATCGTTTGAAAACCATGGTACTGTAGGGTGACCACACTTCCCTACAAAACCATTGATTTGTCCCACTTTTACATAAAAAATGTCCCAAGTGTCCATATTTTTGATCAGTTTGACCCCTGCCAACAGTAAAAACAGGAATAAATTGTCACTTGTTTAGGTAAAATACATAAAATCATCTTAAAAACGACCAAAACACTAAGAAAATGTGACTATACTGACTCAAATGTTAGTCATGAATGGGCCGAGTGCAAAAAAACTCTCCTTAATTAGCTCTTTCACAATTTTATCATTACCAATCATTATTTTGAAAATCCAGTCACCCTGCTGCCTAGTGATAAACTCTCTCAGAAAGATGAAAAGCGAGCACCGTTACCGTGGCGATTGGCAATTCAAAACTACAGCAGGAAAAATAAACTCGCGAATACCAGTGTTTTAGGGCTTGTAATGAGAACGTAAACAGGACACTAACTAGCGTTTCTGTCCGATAATCAGGAAGTGTGTGTTAGCATGCCAGTTGTTGATAGGATGACCGGGATTGCAAAACTCCACTCTGGTCTCTGAAAGTTGTGCAAAGTGCTTATAAAGTCATTGTCTTGAGTAATTAGGATGCTCTGAGTGCTTTGAAAGATAAATGAGGAGTCATTTTGGACCACTGCAAACTGTTGCCAACGAACTAGCTGTTTTTCACCTTTTTAATGCAGTCCTATTGTGCAAAATCAACTTTTCAGAGCTTTTTACTAATGTTATAGTTGTTTCCTTTCACCATTTACTCACCCAAAGTTGTATTTGGAGTGATTCGTGCATGTTTGAGCCATGATCTTAAGGACTTGAGACTTGACTTGATAAAATAGACTAAGACTTGGGACTCGACTGGACTTGAAGCTCAATGACTTGGGACTTGACTTGGACTTTAGGCTTGTGATTTGAGAAGACTTAATTCTTCTCCTAAAAAAAGTTTTTAGAAAATACTTTTCTCTTTACAGTTGATAAATGTGGTACTGAATTTTACAGCAACAAACTGGAACATGTCTCCCTGTTGGAACTTCTGTCTTTGTTAGTTTGGATGTAACTGAAGTACTGTGATGTGGTATCCTCAAATGTACTACAGTAATATGCAGTACAATACATTAAAACAGAGGGAACTACATAGAACATGATCCTTCCATGTCAGACAATAACTGCACTTTTAAATCTTAATTCTTTCTGTTCTGACTGTAATGATTCACACTCAGATCTTGTCAAGACTTTTATAAAGGAGAAAAATTGCATTTTTACAACTGTATAAATACTCATATATAAATATACCATGACTTTTTATGTACAATTTAGTTTAAAATTCATGTAAATTTCAAAAATGTAAGCTTTATTTCGTACTTTGGTTTAAAGACTTGACATGACTTGAAGCTCAAAGCAGACAACTTGGACTTGACTTGGACTTATAAGCCAGCGGTTCAAGACTCAAGACTCGACTTAGACTTGCCTGTCTTTAACTTGAGACTTGACTCGGACTTGAGGTCAAAGACTTGAGACTTACTTGAGACTTGCAAAACAACGACTTGGTCCCACCTCTGTCTAAAACTTTTGACCAGTAGTGTACCTTCATTTTGAGGATTTCAGCCCTGAAATTGCCAATCTTTACTGAACTAAATGTAAAATATACTGTAGTTGTTAACTTCAAAACTACTGCTTCATGACATCACAAAGAAGTACAGAGTATTTTGAGCTTTGGAGATGTAAACAGTTTAATAATAAAGCGTTACTCAAACCTGTGTGAAAGAAACAAAACACAACTCGGGGTCTGTTTTTGAGAAGGTAAGAGCATTATAACGTGACTAAAAGCTCACAAGAGTCAATTTTAAGGACCTTTGAACATGACTTCAAATTAAAAAGTAAGGGTATACATTTAATTGTTCCTTCATCTCAGAACCTTTTAATTGGACGATAATAGCAGAGCCTTGGGGCCACTACAGTAGAGACCTGGTGTACGATACTTTTGCGCGGGAGGCTATTGTGTAACCTGACCCCTGTGTTTGCCCCTCTCTGGAGCATGAGGAGGGGGGGCAGTTATGTGGTTTGGAGGGGGGGTAGTTGTATGGTGCTTTATTGTCAGGGTGCGTGGGCAGGTGGAGGGTGGAGGGTGAAGGAGAGGGGGCATTAGCTCAGAACTTAAGCCCACTCGAGCTCATCTTTCATCGGGGACAGCTCGTAATGTGGCCCCGGGACTGTCTCCGGAGCTCTGGGGGGAAAAGTGAAGTGTGGGAGAGCAGACATGGAGTTTAGACGCTAATCGGAATAATGTTAATAAGGATGGATCAGGTTTTATTATAGAGTTTGTGAGCTAAATGTGAGACCAATGAGAACATGTGCGTCTAAGCTATAGCCGTTGATTTCAGTGTGTCCAGATAGATGTCAAAACTGTGCAAAACCAGGTCTAATCGTGATATAAAAGGATTATAAAGCAGGTCTAAATCAGGACTAAACCAAGACTAAAGCCAGGTCTACAGCAGGTCTAAACTAAGACTAAACCAGGTCTAATCATGTACTAAACAAGGTCTAAAGCAGGTTTAAAC